CGATTTTTTTACGTTAGATTATTATTGTTCACTTATCATTTATGGAAACTGCCGAAACAGTGGCTGTGTACTATAAATCGAACCTTTAACATTAAAATTTTACCGAAACAGTGGCTGTAATTCTAATTCCAATGTGGCTATTAATACGGATATTCCTAGATCTTCTCAAAAATGTGTAATCCTTTTTTGTATGGCTTTCTTTTTATGTTTAAATTTAATTACTTGCAAAACTTATAATATAATACAATATTAAAAATATTAAAATAAATGTTATACGTATAAATATATATATATATATATATATATGTTATATACGTATAAATATAAGACTATAATAATATAATAATATATATAATAATAATACGTAATATAATAATACGTAATATAATAATATAATAATATAATAATATATATAATAATAATAATATATATAATAATAATAATTTATATAATAATAATAAGGTTATTATTATTTATATTACGTATCTATTATTATTATTATTATCGTTATTATTATTATTATAATATTATATATATATGTATGTATGTATTTATGCACTATATGCATCTCAGAAAAAAAAAAAAAAAAAAACGGGTTTGCAGGACACTTAAATTTTTAAGAGAAAATAAATAAAACTTGTTTTAGATCTTGTGTTATGGTTTATTAGAACCAAAGTTTAGGGGACTTTGAACGGAGAGTATTACACTAGATCTCTGTAAAATTTTTATCTTGTAACACACCCCGATTATGGTTAGAAATGTTCTAAATTGTAAGTATTTCTGAAGCTCATACCATCTATGATTATCGTATACACCGTCGAGAAAATTCCTACCCACGCATTATTAAATTATATACATTTATTTCTTCCCTGATACAATTTTTAATTTACAAGTTATAATAAAAAACGTTGGTATAATATTAACTCAACACGTGTGTCTTCATAATCATTTCAGTGAACTTTGGCAAATTTATAATTAGCTTTAATCCGTAATTTATGTATCAGATATGTACGTACGTACGTACGTACTGTACGTATGAAAAAACTCTATACGTATCGTTGGTGTGATCCAAATTTAGGCAATACTAAGATGCTTAACTGTTAATACGTAGAATACTGTAGCTATCAACTTTTCATATGTTAAAATATTGATATAGATTGTTGATTCACATTATACAGTTATCAGTTATACGTATTACAACTTTGATGTAAAATTGCCACTATTGTATATACATGAGTTATATCAAAAAAGAAACTTTTAACATTAACTATTGAAAAACAGCGAAGCATTTTTGTAATGATCTATTAATGATGACATTCTATCAAATTATATAATACCGTAATAATGACAAAATTTGACATAAACTTTTTATGCTTTTTATAAATATTTAAGATTTGTACCTTTCGTTTTGCTTTTCTATCTTAAAGCTGTCTTAACAACGATTTTAGATCCCTTAAAAAAAAAAAATGAGTGAAACTTGTCCAAATCCTCCTGTATGTGTATGTTTATGTGTTGCACAATTTCATTTGTGTGAAAAAATGAGATGCGAATTTTTTTTTTTTACATCTAAAATAGCATCCAGGTCCTCCTGGTGAAAAACTACCTGCCGCACAAAGCATACTTGATACTGCGGTTGACGTTTCTCAAAACTTTGACCCTTTAAAGAAGATACATGAACATGTTTGTGCATTTCACTTTTACAGGTATCTACTTGGTCAAAGTAAATCTGCAATTCCTGTACGATAATCGCCCATTCATCCATCCATCACTCTTTATTATCTTTATGATAATCGTCCACCCATCATTCTTCATTTGTTATTGCTTCATCTGATGCCATTCATTGTTAACTGTTTGTGATTCATTCATTGCTATTATTATTATTATCATTATCATCATTATTATTATTACTATTATTCATTTATTTATATTATTATTTATTTGTTGTTATTATTGCATACTAATGGCTATTAATACTATTGTTGATTATGTACTTATTTATTATTGTTTTTTTTAGTCATGATATGGCACGTCAAATTGAAGCTCATCACTATTGCAGCCATCTTAACGATGACTTTCGTCAATGTATTATTTATGATTCTAACGAACCTAATGCTAAACTGATCGGTGTTGAATACATCATTTCAGCTAAGCTCTTCCAAAGTGTGTTATCGAATTTTTTTTTTCTTTAATTTTTTTAATGTATATTTACACTATAATTTAATTCGAATAACTAAATTTACTTTACTATAGCACTTACTGAGGATGAAAAGAAGTTTTGGCATTCTCACATTTATGAGGTTGGAATTCCTTCTCATGACAGGCTGCAAAATATTACACGACATATAATATTGCTATATTTTATCATTTTATCATTTTATAGGTGAAATCTGGAATGTTAGTCTGTCCTTTCGGATCTTTGGTCCCAACGGCTGTTGCTGATAAAACAGAAGGGAAGGTGATGGAAGATTTGATCAATACTTACGGCAAGGTAAATAAAAATATAGGTGATACCTTCTTCTCTTTTTTGATCGTTCCCTATACGTACTATATAGTTTTCCGATTTTTTTAGACATGGCATTTTTGGCAAGTTGATCGAGGCGATCCCTTACCTTTCGGTAAGTTTCTGAATAAGTTATTCTATAATCGTGATTAATGTCACGTGAAAGTCCAAAAAAATTATTTTTATATAGGTCCACCTCAGCTTATGATGGCTTTCACTGGAGATAATCAACTTTCGCCAAAAGCACTTAAAAATCGTGACGAAAGACTCAATGTTTCTACCGCGCATAAAAAAGAAGCGCGAGCCCAACTTCATGAAACTTACAAACGTGATCCTGCTGCTGACCATTGGCTTGCCAGAGATGATAATACTGTATATCAATGTGATATGAAACTTGTCGAGCAAAAGAAAATCGTTCAAGGTTAAAATTTATTGACATCTTTGCATCTTTAAACAATTTTTTGCTTAATATTTGCCAATATCGATATATAAATAATAAAGTTATGCAATCGCACAATTAGCTTTTTATTAAAAGTGGTGAAAAGTGCTCTTGATCTGAATTTGTTTTACTTGGTCTTTGATTATAAGCTTGTTGGAATATATTAATATTGTATTAGATTGTTTGAATGACTTCCAATTTTTTCATAGCCTAACTTCTTTGCTAATCCTTACCACATACTGCAATAGTCGTTACTATATTTTGTCCAATTTCTCCTAGATTATCGTTTGTAATATTCATCGATTTTGACACTTATAATGAATATGTACTTACGTACGCACACATGTAAATTTAGATACTAGAAGATCATGCATATTCCTACATATACAGTACATATCGATATGTATAAATTATTAGTTGATGACCAATATCGATACCGCTAATTAAGTATACAATACCGGCGAATAAGTACTTGTTGGCAAATGAGCACGTGTCGTTTGCGGCACGTGTCAGCTAATCATTTGCTAAAATTATCGTATTCTACAATTTACCCAGTATCAGTATTGGAGTTATCCGGCAATTTATGATCATGACTCGCAAGGAGTTGTAATTTTAATAAACATGTTTACATCGTAATACATGTAAATAGCAAGAAATAATTTCATGATCATATGAGTTTGCTGAATAATATGCAATATATCGATATACGTATGTGCAAATTATATAATTACTTATTTCTACGTACGTACGTACGTACAGTACGTACTTCATTTCTGATTATCGGAGTAAAAATCAATCAATAAATAATATTAATAAATCTTTTCTGCGCATTAGCAAAAAATTTTCTTTACGAATTTTTGGTAAAAGCAAGCACTTTCTAACCTAATCTAACTAATATAAAACTAACATTAATATGATGTCATTTTTTTAGCAAATTGATGATATTAGAGCTCTACGTTTAATTTTACGTATTTTATCTACCTGTTACCAGTAATAATAATTTTACATATCAAATATATTAAAATTTATTAAGTATCTCATAAATCTGGAAAATTTTATTTTCATTACATCACGCAAATATATTTAACTTCACAAATAAATGTCGGAATAACAATTTTACTAATCGTCTAAATTAAAGTTAATTCTCAATACTTAAAACAACTTATTCCTAACGAAACTTTGAGTTAACGCCATTCTAATAGGACAGCACAAACCAACGAAACTTCGAGGCACTTTTTTTAACAGTCAACTTAAAAAGAAAGTTAATAGTTGCTATGGCAATATAGCAAACGACATTATGGAAATATGGAAGAAATAACAATACAGTATTACTGCTGTACTGTGTAACATTTCTCTTTTTTTTTTTGCAGTTCTTTACTATTTTAAGATTTTATTTTTCACGCCATTTTCTACACTATGTTAAGAATTTATATTTACACCATTTTAAGATTTTATTTTGATGCCATATTTTCAATAATTACAAAGACATCTATATATGCATATATTTTAATGCTAAGATCAGGTCATATGTAAATAGCTTATCAATTATAAAACAATAAGCTGTTAGAATTTTAAAATTTCAGGACTTCGAATAACCATCGGTGCAGCAACTATGTTTCACAACTACTTTTTTTAAATATATTCGATAAATTTTTTAACATATTCAAAAATTCAATTAAAATTTATTGACCAATAAACAAAATTAAATTTATGAATGCATAATAAAGATAAGGATTTATTTAAGCATGCAAACGAAAAATTACAAATTTCAAAAACCAAAAAAAAAAACCTCCCCAAAAATTAGACATATCAATATTTAAAATTAGGATGATAGAGGTCGCAAAAGTAAACATTTATTACGTATATAACATATAAAACTGAGACCTCCAAAGTTGAACATTTATTTATTTATTTTTTTTTTTTGGGCGTAAATAAAATGAAGCTCCAAAAAAATAATTTATATCTATAATGTAAATTAA